ATCAACGAACAGCCTCATCATTTGCCCTGCTTGAGGTCAGAAATTTTGTGAAAAAGTTTGGATAAACAAACTGTACAGTAGTACCGTAACGTTAAATGGCTGCGCGCTTCTAAACAACCCCACAGCGTCTCCCTCACTTCCTTCTCCCCTCTTACAATCTCCATCGCCGCCCCGTCTCCGAAATTTCACATGTTCCAACTCATCTTCTACCTCACCCACCTCCCCACGACCTTCCTCCTCTCCGCGCAACAGTTCATCCCATCACACCTCGTCCCCGCCTTTGCGCTCTCAGCTCTGACATGGTGGGTCGATTTCAGCGGTGACCCGTTCCTCCGCCCCATCTTAGCTTCCTCAAACGCACAGCAGCAGCCGTGGGTGTGGGGCATCTTGGCTGCGGAATGCACCCTGGGCGCGCTGATGACGTTGAGGATTGTCAGCGGTGGTGTGGGTAAGTGTGAAATGGGACAGACACTATAGAAGCGAGATGTGGAAGCTTTGATGCCAATTATTTATTTTTCATATATATCCCTATAGACAATCCCCGCACATTCCCCCTCCAAATCGCTCACGCCGCCTACACCGCCACGACCACCTTCCTGCTTCTCACCGACCTCTTCCTGCCGCTCTTGCGCCCCACCGACTTGTCGCACGCCTACAACACCAAAGTCACGCTGACGAACGCGCAGTCGGTTATGCTGTTCTTTGCGTATGCGCCGTACCTGATCGTTCCGGTGTGGATTGCAGGACGACGGGTCCGTGATGTCACGGCCCTGATCGTGAACGGTGGTGCGGGACGGCGTATGAAGACGGCGTGATTTTTTGTGGGACTATCTTTTTGTCTTGCGTGTAGTGCTCCAGAGCAAAATGGCGTAGGTGGGAAAAGGTGGAGTCCAGATCGAATGGTGCAAACGAATAAGCGCGTCCCGAATTCTTCGGCCAACGCCATAGATCTTTCGCCCCATCGCTGATCAGAATAAAACTAAAGAGTGAAAATTCGTATGTATTTTTCATTTTCTCGGGCACAGAAAGGGGTACCGGTGTGGGGGATCGGCAAAAGGACAAAAAGGGGGGAACAAAAACACTTACAAAGACTTCCCTCGGAGCACTGGGCCACGGGGAAAAGAAGGGGGATAGCGCGCAACAAACAAAGAAAGGAACCAACAAATCATACAAGAAAAAGAACAAAGAAAACAAATGCTGGAATGAGTCATGCACATACAATGAAAGGAACCAAGTGAAGGGAAGGACGGGTGGTGGCATGAACATGGCGTAGCCGGTCGGGGAGATGACCGCCGAGGGAATTGGGTATATTTGGCCGTTTTTAGATTTCCCTTGCCAGGATGTGGGCTGGGTGATATGGGGTTTGTGGGTTCAGAGTTTTCAGCATTCAGCCGGCAACCCCGTGTGCTGGTAGGGCGCACCGGCATCCTCCGCGTCGCCCGGATCCTCCTCACCAAAAGCATCATCCTCCTCGCCAGCCGCGTTCTGGCGCAGATGGTTCGGGTGCCCATTCGGCGCAATCCCCGTGCGTTCCTCGACTTCCACGTGTCGTCGCAACGCATCCGCTCTCGCAAAGCCCGCTCCACAGAGGTCGCACTTGAAGCGCCGGCCGGACGCGCCGCCATGGAGGGAATTAAAATGGCGGTCGCGGTCGTGTTTGCGAAGGAAGGTGGCCGAGCACGCCGAGCAGGCAAACGGCTTGATGCCCGTGTGGAGGAGGGAATGCGATTTGAGGTTGTAGGAACGCGTAAAGGTTTTGGTGCAGTCCGGAAACGTGCAGGGGTACAACTTTGGGAGCTGCATGGTGGTGAGGGTGGAAGAAGTGGTGGTGGGTGGGGATGTGGCGTCCGCTGCTTCTGACGGGTTGGCATCCGGGTCGACCGGGGCCGTCTTTGGGGTGGTGGCAAGGATGCGTTTGGCGGTGGTGGGACGCGGCTTCTTGGCAATGCTGGGTTTGGGCGCTCGAGGACCGGTCGCGGGGTTCGACGTCGGCTTGCGCGCGGCGGAGGCATGCGTGGTGGAAGAAGGAGGAGGAGGAGCGAGCTGAGACCCGGCCCCAGAATTCTCTTCCGAGAATGGCGGGAGAGGGCTGTTGAGGATGTTCATGAGATCCAACAACCCATCTTCCTGCTGACCAAACCCTCCCGTGCCATCAAGGGTAGAGCCACCCGTGGCACTTTCCAGATAGCTAAGGTCATACGGGGAAGTAACACTAGCTTCCGAATAAGGCGAGAGGAAGGAATTGGCCGAGAGCGGGGTGGCGGGGACGGGGAGCGGATACGGTGACAAAAAGTGCCCGGCCGCGGGAGTCATGGCCGTCGATGCTGCTGCTGCTGGGACTGGCCCGTTGCCGTACGCGGATGACATGTACGGCGATCCCAGCGGGTTGGCGGGGGAGGTGAAGTAAGGTGCGAAGGGTGTGGTGTCGCCCGAAGGTGTCGGGTAGGGGTTTCCAGGAGCGCCTGGTTGTTGCGCTCCAACGGGCCCTTGCGAAGAGGACGATGTGGATGGCTTTAGCGCCTCGAACGAAAGCGGAGCCAGAAGCGTATTGAAAGATGAATCAACATCCTCTGGTGTCTCTCCGATATTCAGATTTCGAGGGTCACTCTGCTGCTGTTGTAACTGGTGTTGCTGTTGATGTTGCTGTTGATGCTGCTGTTGATGCTGCTGTTGATGCTGCTGTTGATGCTGCTGCTGTACAAACATGTCCTGCACCAACGACGTCTTTGCAGAGCCGCGGCGCGAGCGAACAGCCGACAAAGCGCGCATGAGCTTGTTCATCGCAATCGCATCCGCTGTTCCAGCAGCCGCATCCGTGGCATGGACAACCTTCAGTTCCGACTCCACCTCGTCCAGAATCGACAGCCCCTCGTTGGTGTCGTCCCCCGATCCATTGAGATTCCCATAGTCCATGATGGGGAGCGCTTGCGGGGTTTCGGGAAATGGTGTCGGGTTGGGCGAGATGAGACCACTGAGGAGGGCTTCCATCGAAAACAGGGGATCTGCCGCAGTGTCGCTATTGGCGGCAGCGCGGGGATCAAAGTACGGCGACTCAAAATTCAGGGGAGCCGTCCGCACTGACATATAAGGGTCGTATGGCGTGGTGATGGTTTGTTCGGGGGATATGACGTTGATGGAGGGGGAAGGCTGGTAGGAGGACGCCGAGGAGGCGAAAGAGACCTGCCGTTGCAAGAAGCTGGACAGATTGGCTGCCGGCGATTGAACGGGGTCGTAACCGTTGTTGTGATTGTTTGATTGGTTGTACTGCTGCGGTTGCTGTTGTTGGAGGTTGTGTTGCTGTTGCAGTCGTTGCTGTTGCTGCTGGAATTGCTGGTACTGATGCGACTGCTTTTGCAGTTGTTGTTGTGGCGGAACGACCTGTTGAGCAGCCATATCAGTCATCCAATCCCCAACCAGGCTATTTGCGCCCATGATGTTGTGATCGTTCCAGAATCCTATTGAGTTGTTGTTGTCGTTATTGTTGAGAATTCCAGACGTCGGAAACGAAGGCGACAACGCTTCGGCGGCTGGGGGCACGTAAAGACCCTGCCCACCGGTGGTGTTTGACTTCGGACTCCTTAACGAATCAAGAAAGGTGTCTTCCGACTGTCCATACTGCCGCTAGAAGAAGGCGGGATAGGGGAAGGAAACAAGCGATCAGTCAACCACAAAAAAAAAAAACGTGAAAAAAAAAATACACTTCAGCTCCGACCCGTCACAAAGCAGGCTGGTTCACGCGCGGCATTCCCACTAAGTAAACTCAACTCACGTTTGCCTGATACTGCTGCTGTTGTTGTTCCTGCTGCTGGAGGTGATGTTGGTGGGTGTACATTGCCAGCGGGTCGTGTTGCTGCTGGTTCAGTTCTTGCTGTTGTTGTCGCGCAAAGTGGAGGGGGGAATAGTCGACGATATTGTTATTGTCGGTGGCGGCGGCGGCGGCGAAGGTGGCCTGTGTTATGGTTGTAGTTGATGTGGTGGTGGTGGGGTCGTTGAATAGTAGAATTGAGGTGTCGTCCAGCAAATCCATGTTCCAATAACGTATTTGAGTGAAACGGAGGAGAGACGGGCCGAACAGGTGGGAAAAAGCAAAGTGTGGGAGGGGGGTAGAAACGAGTGTGAGAAAATAAGCGCGTAGGGAAACCAGGGGGAAAGGACACAACTGGGGCCCGGAAGTAAGGAAAAGGAAGCGTGCGAACGAAAACGACACGGACGGACGGAGGGCAAAAGCGGCCGAGGTGGGCACTTTGGAGTACGGTAGTAGCGTAGTAGTAGTGGTATGATACAAGTAGTGCGGTACTTTTGCGTAGTGGGGCCCGTCGAGATTATCACTTTTGCTCGCTCTCTCACCCGGAAACCCTTCTTCACACTTCATGTCACACCCTTGTCACACTTCCTCTCTCACTTGGCACGCGCGGCTTAGCACACTTCAGTGACTCACTTTCCTCTCACCCCATCATCCTACATTCAGCCACGCGCACTTTTGACTCCGCCATCCCTCCGACGGGCAGCTGCGGCAAAGCGGTCATTTCCGTCATTTATCCCACCACACTACAGTCAGCGAACGGTCAGTGACGGCCAACTACGGCCAACCTGCAGCAACACATCCCCCCACATTTATAATCCTAAATCGTAAATCATCTTTCCCCCACATTCTACGTTTTTAATCATCATATGCGATGGGTCATGAGGCTGTGTTTGCTTATCCACACAAAGCTTGCTGGTCAAAATGATGTCAACACTTCGTACTACGGATTCCTGACCTAATAGTGCTTGCAGTTTGATGGCGCGTGAGGGGTGGAGCAGTTTCGATTCTGATCTGAGCCTGAAAGCTACCATTTTGATCAAGTCCTATGCATTGAAATTTGATGACAGCAAACTAACCAAACGGAAGCGTACAATGGGTAGACAGACTGCAGCAAGCCGATGACAATGCACATCGCTCATCATTGCCCATCCTTGCAGACATACTTGCTCGAGTCAAAAAAATTATGTTTCTACGCTGCGCTAACCGGGAATCGAACCCGAGGCGTGAGCTTGGGAAGCCCACATGTTACCACTACACCATTAGCGGGTTGTTTCTCATTTAACCCTTCCTTTGTCCTGACCACTAGTTCTTAACGAGACAACTGCTTGAACGACAGTGACCTCTTTCCGCGGCAATGACTGGTGGGTCCCGTCTAGCCATCAATGGGTCTTCTTTTGCAGCACTTCCCAGAAGTGTTTGATGGCGCCGTGTACGCATACCCAACAACGTCCGTCGTGGCCGTCTGCGCCGCGATAAGTAGAGACATATGTACAAAATGTCGCAGTGTCGTCAGGCGTGTCAATGGCAATACCTCGATTGGCGGCCTGCGGGAAAGGGAGACCCTCAGTGTTATAACGCCATTGTAGATCTTCCCATCCATTTGAACTGGTGGTCCGTGGTCTATCAGAACGCGTTCCGGTAGGAGCCGCGTTCCGTTAAGATTCTCCTACCGGAACGCGTTCTGATAGAAGTATTAATCGGGTGCGCCGTCAATTTAGCGGGTTGGTACGGAAAGGAGACGAAAGCCTCCAACAACGCGCTCCACCAAACTCCGAACAACCTATTCGATCAACTTTTATCACCGTTGCCCGCTCATCGCACCGTGATATCGGGGGCACCAAGAGACATGTCAACCACGGAGCTCCGCCGACATCCCCAGTCCCAAACGCGTGCGTCTCACCCGTCAATGGCCTTGGCAGCAGCAAAGTCAAATATCATTGCAACTTCCCCCCCCCCCCCCCCCCTCCCAGACCAGAGCTTTGTGACAACTACAAAGTTCTCTTACCGTTTGCACCTTCACCCCACACCCACTCTCAAAGCACAACCCCGTCACCGCAGCTGTCAAAACTGCACCCGTTCATTAAACCGTTCTTTTGATTTACAAAACTAATTTTATAAAAAGTACTTTCGCGGCGTCATCTCGAAGTTCGCAATGACACCACTTCTCACACCCCAACCCTTCCCTCAATTTGCCCACCGTTTCCAACAACCTCTTGCAAATGGAAAGGCTGCAAAGAAAGGTGAGTGTATCGGGATGATCTGACGCATTGATGGCCGGCACGGCCGATCCGGCAAATCTGCTCTCGAGGTGCAGTCACATCACCTCACAACTCTACCATGGGGTCGGATAGGATATATACGCATCACACATCTCACAACTTGCAAATGGCATTGTTCTTTTCTATTACTTGATATACAACACAAATCAATAGTGCGGGACTCACTCAACCTTGTGTTGCCCCCCAACTCCCAAAGCACAAAGATTACGGCGGGTGGGCCAAATGAAGTGTACAGCTCACGTGACCTGAACGCGCCTGCGTGTTATAGAACGGTCTGAGATTGCACGCCCCTCCACCACCTCTCACCACCGGAGAGAAAACGCCAACACTAACGAAACAGATGCAGCCCACCTCTCCACACGCCGTACTAGCTGACCTGGCCGCCCCGACCTCTACCGCAAGTAGAGAAGCGGACGATCAGCCGCGGCAGAAAAAGTATTCCGTCACCACCCCATTTGCCCGAATCCTCCTCCGTGTCGATCTCTACAGCAGTGGCAAAGGCGCTGCAACCCCCGCCGTCGCATCATCACCCGCAGTCGGCGCCTCGCAACAGGGCGGGAAACTGTTTGTGACTGTCTTGGCTCGTGCCGATGCGGGGGTGAGAGATCGGCAGCGACGAAGATTGCGTGAGCAGTTGAAGACGGAACCGAGGACAAACACTCAACAACAGCAACAACCGCCAGCAGGGGGCCCAAGTGGGGCGGAAAAGGCGGCCCAGGCGGCCGCGGCGGTAGGCGGGAAAATGAAGGAGGGTATCAACGGATTTTTTACCCGGGTCCGTAACTCGGCTGCGGCGGCGACGGCTTCTTCGTCACGGTCGCAGGAACAAGCTGAAGAACCATCATTGACGACGACGACCACCACAACGACATCACCACCGGCAGCAACAGCCACTACAGATCCGACTGTCTACCCACCCCCACTACCCCGCCCCGACCTCCAACCGCAATCATTTGCAGCCCGATCCCTCAGTCGCATGCGCGGCAAACTCGCCGCCTCGACCGCGGCAGCGGTTTCCAAACTCTCTGCCGCCACATCCTCATCATCACCAACACCACCCAACCCAACCTCACACCTCCCCGCACAACAACAACAACCGCAAAATCCAACCTCGAAACCCACCTCAGCAACCCACTCCCCGGCCCACCAACGCAAAAGCATGCCCACGCATGAAGTCATGTGGGCTAGACCACCCTCGGAAGAGGATTTGCCAAGTGTTCTCAAGGCGGCCGAGAAAAAGGAAGGCGAGAGGGAACAGGCGGCAGCGGGGTTGGAGCCGCAGCTAGACGAGCTGCTGGTTAAAGTGAGGGGAACGTAAAAAGTGGATCAGGGGCGAGAGGCGTGACCGAGCCCCCCCTTTCCTATGTCAAATCCCGTGTCCGCCGAAATTGTTGTTTTGAACTAGCTTTTACGTGAAGTGACCGATGCTGAACCATCCCAGCTGTTGTTTTTCGTACTGGACGCTTTGATTCTCCATGTCAACATGACAAGAGATGAGCAACACCAATGAGATAAAAACATCTTGCGTGCATGGGCTTTAACAATCTGCTGCGTCCGTATTTGACAAGCTGGTAAAACCGTTCAGAACACATCAATATGGTGACGTCCTGAGATTTCATCGTGGTCGGTGGTGGTGAGCATAGGGCAAGGTATTGCGTGCATGTGTGGGGGGGAATTTTTCGTTCTTTTTTTTTTTTTTTTTTTTTTAAAGATATCTCGGACGTAAAAAAAAAACAAAACCATCTAACTGTAACTATCTAATCGGAAAAAAAACATCTGGGCGAAACGAATGAAAGAAAAAAAAAAAAAGAGAAAGGCAAAGCAAACGTTTCTACAAAAACAGCAGACTACGCAAGAATATGTACGCCGCCGCCATCCAGATTTTTTTTTCACACATCAATAAGGCGGCGATGGCGCTCCCGTGTACGGCATCGTCCTCGGCGGTGGCTGGGGATGGTGGTCGTATGCCTGTCCCGGCGGGTAGGTAGTCGGAGGCATGGCCATGGGCAAGGGTCCACTGCTCGCCGGATATGCGAACGATGTCGGCGGCGGAGACATGGGTGCACTGGTCGCCTGGTATCTGTTTTGATAGGGCGCCGAGAGGGGCGGCGACTGCAGCATCGGGAGCGGCTGGCTGTATTGCTGGGGCGGGTATGGCGCCGACGTGAGTGGCGAAGACATTGGGGTAGACATGAGCAGCGGCTGCGGACTCGAACGCTGGGAATGGGCGCCCGGGCTGTAGACGCGCTGGGAGGGTTGGCGGTAGAGGGCGGGCGACATGGAGTACGATTGGTGGAAAGCCGGGGAAGTGGGTGTGGACGGGGCCGAAGTGACTTCGACGAAACCGGGGCCCGTTTCACGGCCGATCGTGTTGTACTGCGCGAATTTCGGGATCACGATATTGTTCAACTCGGCTCGTGGTGGGGGTCCTTGCTGGTGCATCGGGTTGGCATCTTTGAACTGCGCGTAGGGCCCGACTTGCGACATGCGCTTGGTGTTTTGCCGGAACGTGCGGTTGAAGGTGCCCGTCACGCGTTTGGCGACAGCGGGCATAATGCCATATCCGTCGTCCTCATCAGTTTCCTTCTTGATGCACTTTTAAAAGAGCACCAAAAAAAATTGGGTCAGCCAGAGGAAACTAGCAAGCACACATTGCAAAAGCCCCATGATGATTCCTCCCGCTCCTGCTTTACTGTTCACCCACCTTATTATAAATCAACACACTGATTCCACAAAGCAGGATCGTCCCCATCAAAGATCCAATAATAATCAACGTCGACTTCATCGCTCCCGAATCAATGCCGCTGCCGCCACTCGTCGCATTCTGCGCTCTCGCGGCGGGCCCCGTGGTCGGGACAGGCGCAGTCATCCGAATCGTTTCTTCCGCCGCCGAGGCCAGCGTAGGCGACGCGGCGGGGATCTGATTATTCACCACCAGCGTCGGACGTAGTGTGGCGACAGCCGGGGTCGAGGCGGCGCGGATCGTCGCCGGCGCAGCAGGGACAGCAACCACGGGTGGCCCCACAACAACCGGAGCCGGTACAACAGGGAATCTCGGCACCGCGGACTCAACAGGCGTAGGCGCAGCCACGGGCGGTCGCGGAGCCGGGACTGGAGCGGGGGGTCGGACGACCACCGGTGGAGGTGTTGGAGCAGGCCGAGGGGCGCGGGTGATGGTGATGACGGCGGGGCGGTCAGGAGGTGCGGGGGCAAAGATGGGTCGGCCCACGACCTGCGCCGTCGCGGGCGGTGCGCAGAGAAAGGTGAGGTTGACTGCCAGGAGGAGGAGAAGCCGGGGAAGGATCATGTTGAGCGCTGGATTTCGGGTTGGCGCGGTGGGTAATTAATTGGTTGACGTCCAGCGTCGCGGGGTATGCTGGAGACTAGACTTGTAGATTACAAGGTTGTAATGGAAGTCGGTGCGGCAACGAAGACTGGGGTACGGCGAGGAACAGAGACGACCAGCGCCATGGGATGGCAAGAGACCCACACGAATGATCGAAATGCGAAAGAAATTCTAGACTTTTTGACGAATTCGAAGACGGATATCTAATGCAAAATAAAAGAGGAGGGGGGCCCAGCGGCAGGTGTTTTCAGCGTGCAAGACAGAAATGGGATGGATGGGACATGCCCCACTAGTAACCAGCGCTTTTAGTACAAGTGGTTCAATGGGTTGGTCGGACGGGTCAAGAAGCCACGAAACAAACGCGAAGACCTGATCTGTGCTGCACCGAACAGGTCCGGCTGCACACACAAACTCATCCCAAAAGAACTCCTATCCCAAGAAACGCTCTGGTGGTAAAACCAAACAAACAAACGCAACCCAAAAAATCCGTTCCAAACCCCAACCCACACACACAAAATGTGAGAAGTCGTCCACGCGACACACACACATGGGAGAATGAGCGAGAGGGGCAGAGAAGACAAACAAACAAAATAGACATAAGAAGAAACAAAAAAAAAACACAAACAAACATAGTAGGGGGA